ATAAATAGTAAATAATTTTCAATTATAATTTGCAAGAATTTACCAGATATTAGCAAACCTAATAATTATTTAAGGAATATTCCTCTTTTAAATCAAGAAAAAAGAGAGTACATATATTTATATACATAGTCCAGTTCTAATATTTTACAAATTAGATTGAAGAAATCAAAATATCAAAGCCAAATTACGAATTCTGTGACAGAGACTCTTGAAGTCCAACAGAATGAACCAAATCTACTAAAATTTAGTTTTAATCGATGTTACAAGTTCTACAAAATAATTTTTTTTTGAAAAACATAAATAAAATAATAGGTCATATGTAAAACCCTTGCCAAATTAGTATCAACTTGTGTTAAAATTCCAGAAAGTTGAAGATAAAAAATAATATATTATTATTATTGCTATCTATTTTAATAATAAGTTAATATATCATTATTTGTAATTTTTACCATTCGAGATAATATTTAACATAATAATAACCTCCTTAGCGGCGGCGTAAACCTAACAAGAAGGAAATCTGCACGGTCTAAGACACGGAGATCGGGAAAACCACACACGACTTTATTTCTATTGTAAGTTTCCTTGATGTGTGAAAAAAAGAAGTGCAATACACATATTTATTTATCTAACAGCAGGGCTTCATGTGGAGGAAAGTTAGGGTTGGGTTAGAATTCCGGTTCAATGTGCAAAGATAATCACAGCAAAAGTATTACAGATTTTATCGACGTCATAAATGTAACTAATACAAATGTATTGAGGAATCTCACCACCAGGTAATGTCCAGAAAGCTACACGTCTATGGTTATACCTATACATTCAGCCCAAATTGCTAATGTCGAAAGTCAAAGTTATTCTAGTCAAAAGTCAAAAGTGACACATTATGTAACATATTATGACACGTGTAACAATAATTACAATGTCCTACTACTACCTACCCTTTTTTTCATGTCATCCATCAGCTTTACTAAAAAAGCTGAATTAGCTTTGGCATGGCTAATCATGTGATTGAATGTATGTTTAAATTACCAATAGGTAGGTATATTGGGCGGTCTGATTGCCAAGTGTTGAAAGGACTTTCCCAAGAAATAATGAATACCGTTTTCTTGTGAAGAGATTTCTTAGTGTCAATTATATCAGGAAAAAGATTGGAAAAATTCGTTATATCTAGCTAGGTCATCTAAACCAAAAAAGAGGTAAGATTATAATGAATGAATCTTCTTAATATCAATCAATTTTTAATTATTGTTAAATATTGTCTCAAAAGCAATCCATGGATAATTATCGGGTTATTTCAAAGGTATTTATTATTAATATAATTAACTTATTTTTAAAATTTTAGATAATTCTTGCAAAAGAGAGAAATGATAATAATAAAAGTATGCAAACAACTAGCACCATCGATTTATTATTTTAACTTTCAGGAATTTTAATACAAGTTGATACTAATTTAGCAAGAGTTTTACGTATGACCTATTTTTTTTCATTATGTGAAAGGAAAAAAAAAAGTATTCATTTAATTCTAATATATATAAAAACTGTATGAAAAATATATGTTTACACTTACACCACCATTAACAGGCAAAGGTTTCCCATCCCACAAATCTGAATGTTTCTTAATTTTCTTCCCTTGACCATCATTATCATTATTAAATTCCAGTATAACAACACTATTTTGTACTTTGTTTTTTTTGAGTAATGGCAAAGTGTAACATTGATTAAAACTAAACTTTAGTATATTCGAATCATTCTGTTGGACTTCAAGAGTTTCTGTTACAGAATTTGTAAATAGTTTTGGCATTCCATAAAATTGAGCTTTGATATTTTTGATTCCTGTACAGTACATGAGTGGATCTTCAAATCTAATTTGCAAAATATATTTATTAGAACCGGATATGTATATAAATATATGCGCTCTCTTTTTCATTCGCTCACGCATACTTACATGACATCATTAGAGTAGTGATTGAATTTTTCTTCAGATGGTTTGCAAGAATATAAATCCAAAATATCCGATACAATTTTTTCT